CACTAAGCTACATCCCAAACCTCTTTTTACTTTTTATTTTGAGACAGGATTTTACTAAGTTGCCCAGAATGGCCCTGAAGTTACCTTTAAAAACAAAGGTAAGTAGAGGTAGAGGTCAGTGGGCAGGCTCCAGTGCCAGCCATTGCGTTCCACTGTATTTGAAGCATGGCCTCTTGTCCACTGCTACCATCCCATCTCCACCTTCACTCTCCACAGCTGCACTGGGGATACGAATGTCTGCTGCCATGTCCAACCTTACAAGGGCCCTGGGATCTGACCTCAGGTCCTCATGCTTGCACAGCAAGCACCTTACCTACTAAGCCATCTCCTTAGTCCCCTTGCACTAAGTTTTTAATTTATAATCCTCCTGCTTCGGCTTCCCGAGCAGCTGGGCTCATAGGCATATGCATTGGGTCTGATTTTTGTGATTCTTCTGAGATGAGCCCATTCCTTGCCTGCATCCTCTAATCATTCTTTCTCCACCGTATGCTTTCCCCTCTCAGCTGCCTATGGTGGTGTGCACTGCCTGGCAGCTCAATTGCAAGCTCTACCTATAACGTCCTTGTGATTTCTTCCTGACTCATTCCTCCTCGGTCTTGCACACTCGTCTGGTCTTCCAGGAGGCCTAAATTTCCATTTATCCCAGTCTGAGATTCTTTACACTATGCTAATATGCTACTTAGTATACATGGATGCTCCTTGACTATGGGTCGAGTTACAACCTAATAAACCCAGGCGAATAGAAAATATCATCAGCCAAGAATGAATTTAATACATGCAACCCTGGAAAAATGATAGTTCAACAAAGCAGTGCATGGCAGAGTGTTGGCTATTTATCCTCATGATATTGTGTTTGATTAGGCATTTGCTGCTGCTGCTGCTGCTACCTGGCTTCAACAAAGAGAATTTCCAGACATATTATTCATCGGTTTGGTGGTAGAGCAAGGAATGCCAGGTGGCCTGGACCAGACAGACTGCTGCTCTTGATGACAAGAATGACCCGAGGACAGTTCTAATGATGAAGTGGTGACCACCAGGAGAAGTGGGAAGTTTATAGCTGGGATGCTGCGATTTTTCTTTTCTGGGGATGTCATCATCGGAGTTCCAACCCCTGTGACTGTCAGAAGTTTGGAGGGGTTGGAAGAAGAACAACTGATGTTCTATCCTGTGCCAGTTGCTCACCTAACCAAAGACAGCTGGAGGATACTTTATTGACTCTGTTCTGGGGAAGGGGAATAGGGTTCGTCTTTGGTAGCACTTCCTCTACCTTCTCTTTTTATCCTCTTTTAAGTCTCCAGTATTGCTCTTGTAATCATGGGAAATTGGGGAGGATTTGAATTGACAGCCCTTAATTCTGTGGCTCAAAGTCACTATGGAACATGAAGCAAAAGTATGGCCTCATTTGTTCCTTGCTGCAAAATGCAGAAAACAGACAACAGAAAGTTCTTATTATACATTTATAATCCAGGCACTGAGAGGCTAACTTAAGTCTTTTGTTCTCAGCCCACTGACCCCCTGGCCTCATATGGGCCATGTGCCTTCCTCTGGCCCAATCAACTATGATTTGGACATGGAGCCACGGAGTATCAGTGGAACAGGCCCCATTGTCATAGTAGGGCAAAGTCAGTGGAGGTGACTGACAAGAGAGGAGCCAGGAAAGATATTGGAATCCTTATCACAGGTGTTCTCCCAGGAAGTGTGTGAGATTTTTCTCAAATACTTACAGGATATGGGTTAAAACTGGAAGATGTGCTGATAAGCAGGGTCTCTTGGCTTCTTCAAACAGCCCTGAGACTCTACCTTCTGGAGGATTTTACATAGCTAAGTTTGCCCCCAGAGAAGAAATGCATGAATTGATAGGTGCTCCATAGCTGCTGTGTTTGTTCCTTTATGTTAGGAGAAAACCACACCCATGTCAGGAATTATATGGTTCAGTGGCCGATGTTTGTGTGCCCATCTGTCGATTAATAATGAGCATCCAATAGCTAAAGTTTTATAAGTATAAATTAAAATGTATTCACACCCTGTCTAAGCCAGTCTGACAAGTGGAACAAAAGTATAACAAAAGAAAAAGCAGCCAGAACATTCTCCCCCTGCTAGTAAATGTACAGATAATAAAATATATTGGGTGTGGTGGCCTACACCTTTAATCCCTGCACTTGGGAGGCAGAGGCAGGAGGATCTCTGTGAGTCCAAGGCCAGCCTGGTTCCAGGACAGCCAGAGCTAAACAGAGAAATCCTATCTTGAAAAAAATAAATAAAAATGAATAAATAAATATAAAAATAAATAAAGACAGCTGGGCGTTGGTGGCGCACACCTTTAATCCCAGCACTCGGGAGGCAGAGGCAGGCAGATCTCTGTGAGTTTGAGGGCAGCCGGGCCTCCAGAGTGAGTGGCATGATAGGCTCCAAAGCTACACAAAGAAACCCTGTCTTGAAAATAAATAAATAAATAAATAAATAAATAAATAAATAAAGACAATTTACTTCATCTTAGCACAGATCTGTGCACTCTTCCATGAGTGGTCTCAGCCCAGAGTGGTGAGCTTTATGATGTAGTCACTACTAGCTCGCTGAAACACTATAGCTCACAAACCCTTGGAATAAGTTTTTCCATTTGTAAATTAAACTAATTAGAATAGTCAGATACCTCAGGGAATTGCCAATTCTGGTAATCTTATTAAGTTAATTGTGAGTTTCAGAGAAGGTGGGAATAGTTATTTATAGATGAATACCTTTTACTAGTACAGACGACCAGTAATAATGACAATGATATAGTAATAATAATAATAGACTAATTCCCCCAAATACAACTAGACTTAAAATAACACCCAATTCATTAGAAGTCACATCATAGATGGTAGTTCCTTGATGGGGTCAAGAAGGAAGAGGTGGACAATTGTGTAGGCTGGAGGACCTGGGTCTTAGTGAAAGGGTTTAATTTTGGGTGTCTCACTCAGGGAATAGATTGGCTGTGTAAATTTTGGACATTTTTAGTTTGGGGATGACTGGCATACTGAAGTGAAAGTCTTGATAAGTAAGCCAAGGTTAGCTTTCACAGCAAGCAGACTGTGTCTCAGATAATCTCTTTGCAGTGAGTCCCAGAGGCAAGTGCTGAGTTTATTTATTGGTTTATGGTCTTACCTTCTCTGGGCAGAATTTCCTGGAACAAACAATTAAGTCATATGGACACAGGCTGTCTCTGTTTGTAGACCTTATGGTCCCAGCACATCACTGCAGGTGGCTGGGGTTCATTCTCACAAAGGTGCTAACAGAAGGGAGTAGCCTGAAGCAGAGAAATGTACCATTCCTGACTTGTCCTGGGTGCCGTGCTCAAGTATTCCACTACCTACCTGCCACCTCCTCTTGGATGTATACTATTTATCTCTCAAATTCCAAATAAAACACATGACAGACCCCAGAGAGAAGTTCCTTTAGATTCCCTATTTCAGTAAGTGGTAAGCTACTAAGTTAGGTAAAGTCCCCCTCTTGCATTGCACCCCTACTTGCTATGATGGGTCCAGTTGGCAGGACCAAATTCAAGCACTTAATAGAGTCTGTTAAAATCCTAGCTCAAGCCATTGTTATCTCTTACTCTGAGAACAAATCATCACACCATAACATTACACACCAGTATTTTCACTTTTTCTAGAAGGTGCATATTTATCCCATAACAGGGCTCTTGTACACATCTTCCTTTTCTAGATTATTATCCCTCTAAATCTCCCTGTGGGTCTTTCCCATTGTTGAAATATCCTCCTCGTGAGTTCCTTTTCTTGTGTCACTCTAACTCAATGGTTCTCAACCTTCTTAATGCTACGACCCTATATAATACAGTTCCTCATATTGTGGTGACCCCCACCCATAATATTATTTTCATTGCTACTTTGTATCTATAATTCCACTATTGCTATGAATCATAATACAAATCTCTGACATTTATATTTATATAGGTGGCCCCTGTGAAAGGGTCATTCGACTCCAAAGAGGTCACACGACCCATAGGTTGAAAACCTCTGCTCCAGCTAAATTCAGTTCCCCTTCTCCACTGTTCTAGCCTATGTTATTTTTCACTCGTTTTATTAGAGCTAGAAAGTTCTGGAGCTGTATTATTCTAGACTTTGTTCCCTTGTTCCCTATCTCCCTCCGCCAAGCAAGCACAAATTCCATCAAAACAGAGATCTCATCTACTATGCACCAGGCCCTGTGTTCCCACTGCCTTGAAAGGAACTTGGCACACAGATTTCTCAAGAAGTAACTGTGAAATGACTCATAGAGAATTTTCAGGCAAAAGTTATTGATTTAGATGGATAGCAGTATGGATTAGTATATACATTATTTAATAAGTAACTGTCTTTTAGTGGAAATATAAAAATACTAAATATATAATCTCTTTATCCTCATTAATGGCTTAACATGTTTAATCCATCATTTGAAATACGTTTAATGTCAATTTTTACCCGGCAAATACCAAGGATAAGTAATGATGTTTGTTTTGTAATACTTTTCTTTTTAAGAGTTGCTATGGTCATGGTCATGTCATCCCTTTACAGCAATAGAACTTTGGCTAAGATAGGCTCTCAAGCTGTCTTTTGCTGCTCTAATGTATGGCTGTTATGTCTTAGGATTTTGAGGGAACAGTGGAATAGGAGAAGATACTTTAGCTTCCCCTATCTACTCTGCCAGTTGTTGTCATGTTAATTTCCTGAATTACCTAATCTTTCTGAATTTCAGTTTGCTCATCTGTCAATAAGCTTAATAAAATCTTGATCAGGGGTTGAAGAGATGACTCGGTAGTTAAGAGCAGTTTCTGCTCCCACAAAGGACCTGAATTTGGTTTCCACCATCTCCCGGCTATAAATCTTTAAAATCCTGATCAAAGGTTTTGCTTATAATAGCTTAGTATATTAAATACTTAGATCATTTTGTTGATCCACAAATATTTCCTGAACATAATGTTATCTCCTTATTGTTGCTACAACAAATTATCATAAACTTACCCCCTTAAGATAAAGTAAATGTATCATTTTACAGTGCTGAAAGTCAAACGTTGAGAATGAGTCTGTATTACTTTTCCTGTTGCTGTGACAAAATTCCCTGGCAGAACTCAAGGAAGGCAGAGTACATTCTGGCTTGCAGTTCATGATACAGTCCATCACAGTGAGGAAGCCAAGACAGCAGGAGTGGGAAGCAGCTGGTCAAACTGTGTCTACAACCAAAGAGGAGAGTCATGAATGCTGATTAGGGTCTCCTTTGTAGGCAATCTAGGACCCAAGCCTAGGGAATGGTGCCATCTGCTTTTGGGGTGGATCTTCCCACTTCTGTCAAACTAATCAAGATAATCTGTCATAGGCACACCTGTGCTTATCTCCCAGGTGACTCTAGATTTCATCTATGTGAAAGTTGAGATTAATCATCATAACCTTGCTAGTCTAAAATCAGCATGGTAGCCACTCAGAGCTTTCTTCTGGGTATTTCCTGGCTTGGCCCCAGCTACCAGTCACATCATCTGGACCCATTCCTCATGTCTTCCCTAATTCTCACACAGGGAAAGATCCTTATAATTACATTATGACTACTGAGTAATACCAAGCAATTCTCTCGTTTCAGTATTCCTAACTTAATGACTGCAAACCCCATTTGTTCCCTTAAGAGGAGACAGTCATGGGATTATTAATCTTGTTTCTGCAGAGAAACAGAACCAATTAGATAAGATTCTATATAAGCCAGGAGTGATGGTACAGGATTATAATCCCATTGTTAGAGAGTTGGAGAGAGGCAGATTCCTGGGGTTCACTGACAGACAGCCTGCCAGTGAGACGGAGGCTGGTGAGAGATCCTGTCTCAAAAAAGAAAATGGGGACACTGCCTGACCAATAACATCTGTCTCCACATGCATTCAGATGTGCATACAGGTTCATTCACACACACACACACACACACACACACACACACACACACACACACACACACATATATTCATATATACATATTCAGATTGCATCCTCATATGCATATGCACCCACACACAAGACAAGCCTCTATGTGTTGATATAAATATACTTATATATATATGTGTGTGTGTACATGTATATTTAATTATGTGTATATCTATACACACATATGTAGAGGAAGAATAAGGTACTGTCCAATGTTATTATGGTGTCTAGAAGTTCGAACTCTGCCCTCTAGCTAGTGTGCTGGTTAGTTTTTGTCAACCTGACACAAACTAGAGTCCTCTCTGAAAAGAGGGAACCTCAAATAAGGAATTGCCTCCATCAGACTGGCCTGTGGGCATGTCTGTGAAACATTTTCTTGATTAATGATTGCCTCTGGGGCACAGCCCAGTGTGGGCATTGCCACAATGGAGCAGGTGATCCTGGTTTGTGAAAGGAAAGAGGCTTTCCGTTCCCAGGGAGCAAGCCAGTAGACAGCGCTCTTCTGTGGCCTCTGCATCAGTGCCAGTCTCCCGATCATGGACTCTAAGCCAAATGAACCTTTCTTTCCAAAGTTGCTCTGGGTCAGTGTTTTATCAAAACAGCAGAGAGACAAACCAAGACACTTACATATATGAAATCCTCTCTCCCCTGAGATATGTATTTGTGGCTTCCACGTGTACATTACTGATTTTCAGGGACTTCATTGTTGGGAATATCACGTCAGTGAAGAAAGAACTGTAGAATTTATTTAAAACGAGCACTCTGTTTAGCCCCTTCTGTCTCTTTTCTTTTTTAGCATTCTCGCTGTTGCTAAGGCGCAGTAGTGCTCCCTGCTTCTTGTGTGTTCTTCATCTCATATTGACTCATAGCACATTTGAGGAGAATTACCCTCACTGCCGTGAAGTGCTTATGCTGTGCTCGCTCAACATGCAAACACTTCAAATTACAGTGCATTAAAATGCCAACGACCAAAGAGAACATTCTAAAAATAAAGTGATTTTTAAGCATTTTGTAAAAGGACTAACTCCTCCCTTTCCCAGTGAGCATGTGTACTCTGTATTCCCTCAAGTGTTGCTCAGAAGCCCACTGGAAACAAAATTCATCTTGGAGAAGAGTAGTGTTTGCTTTCATTGAGTCAAACTGGCTTTCTGACAAGGAGAGCCTTGTTACACACAGAAATAAACCAATGCACACTTTGTTCACCTTGAAACATCTTATTTCAGCCTCATGGGAACCCTGCCAGGGAGATTTTCTTTATATTAATTATCCACATTTTACAGATAAGAACCTGAAATTCAAAGGAAAATAAAATTTACTTCAGGACTGCAGAGATCATAAGTGGCAGAGGTAGGAATTCAACCCCAGTTTGCCCCAAATCTGAACTTGGTTACATAACCAGAAATCTGTATACCAGATGCAAATGACTGTAGGGTATATGTCTATGTATGCTTTTATATAATTATCTTTAAAATGGAGGAAATGGACAACACAAATAACATTGTCAACTTGGCAGGATCTAGAATCATGTAGGAGACAGACTTCTAGGCTTGTCTATAAGGGAGTTTCTAGATTCAGTTAATTATGGTGGGAAAAGACACCCTAAGTGTGGACTGCTTCATCCCATAGCTTGGGTCTTAGACTGAATAAAAAGGAGAAGATGAGCTGAATACCGCCATTCATTGTTTTCTGCTTTCAAACTGTAGACGCAATGTGACCATTTGCCTCACGCTTAGGCTTCCATGCCTTTCTGACCTTATGGCTGGACCTTTGGACTGTGAACCAAAATAAATCTAGCCTTTCTTTTGTTATAGCAACAAGGAAAGTAATTAATGCAACATAGGAATGGGAGAATTTAAGCAGAGAGAAGGAAACTAATAAAATACTGGAAAGCTTTTTAAGTGACAAAGAAGAAGTATTGATTGTAAGGGTTGAAAAGTAGCCTTACCCCATTAGTGCCAAGGGTCACTGAGAAGGGCCAGAGGAAGGGTCATTACATTTGAAGACATCACCAAACTAAAACACAAAGAAGAAAGAGGTTAAAATAAAAGACTGTGCCAGCCATGACCTTGGGATCATCTGAATACTCTAAAACACGGAAGCAGAGCCCCAAAAGGAGTGAGGAAGGAAAGTGGGAGCCATTAATCATTGCAGCAAACATTTTGAAAGGCCTAAGCTCAAAAAGACAAGAAGCTTGACCAATCATAGGAAAAAATAGAAAAGAGACATCATGCATGTGCATGGTACAGCCAAACTGTAGCATCTTTACATGGAGTGGTAGGAATAAAAGCAACCACAGTAGAGTACTCCAGAAGGGTTCTTTACAAAATATAAAATAAAGTCATTTTCAGATAGGTGAGCAGCAAGACAATTTGTTGTCAGCTAAACAACAAGAGATGACCCAAGGGATTCTTCATTGTAAAGGGAAGTGATCTTAGATAAAAGGAAGGGATGAAAAGGATCAAGAGATCCAAGACACCTTTGAAATACTCAGTCCATGCTTACATTTATATCACATGTGTTTATATATTCCATAAGTGAATATATATATTCATGTGAGATGTGTATTATACAGGTATATAAGGAAAGAGAGTGTGTTCTGGCCAGTCAGACTGATAAATACTATATAAAATAAGGTCCCATTTTTAAGGACACCCACAGGGTAATTTACAGAATGTGCCAGGAGTGTATGGGGTCATTTTGAATCCAGCTGGAGTATTCAGCAGGGTCCCTCCAGCCTGGAATTCTGAGTTTCAGATGTGAGGGGCTCCATCCCGCATTTCTACTCCCTGAACTCTGGGTTCTCTGAATGGGTTGTGTCCTTTTATCTATGACATGAACACAATCCAGATCCCAGCCCAAGCCTTGTTTCCTCCACTGTTCCAACTGAACTTACACAGAAACACTGCCTAGCAGCAGAAACTTTGCTGGCAACAGGAGCTTTTATCTTCCTTTGCAGAGAGCTTAGACTTGTCTGGAGAACATTTCCATCCTCAGATGTTGCCTGTCCATTCCCAACAAGGTTTTCTCTGGCTGATGCACACAAGTGCCATTCACCCACCACACAAGGTTTCCCCTGCCTTGCCATGCTTTGGATATCTCCTCTTTTCTCATTCGAGGGATAAATCAACCTTTCCAGATGGTTTCTCCAAGCAACTTAGCCTCCCTCCACCCATCGCTTTGGCTCCAGTGGACAGTCTCACCTTCTTCGCAGGGTGGCTGCAGCATAAGTCTTTGGCTATTCACAGCTCTGAGGCTCGGTTGAGCTTACTTGGTAATCTGTATAAGGAATGGTCCCAGAGTCGTATAATGCTCGAACCAAACAGCAGTGTGTGGTGACTGTTTCTTCATTAAGGATGTTTTTCTAATCAGAGACTGTTCTGCTACTAGTACAAGCTGTTACTTTAAAAAAAAAAAATTCTCACCTCTATTCCATAAAAGATCTACCAAAACTAAAAACCTGATACAAAGTTTGAAGTGAGAAAAATTGTATTCAGTACTTAGAAGTCTGTAAAATGTCAGCTCTTTTCAAATCCATCTTGAGTATCATAACTTCAAATTAAGATGTCAGCAGGTTTATTTTTTTATATAAGAGTTAGATTTTATAACATACTAAAATATTAACATATTAAAAATATAACAGGAAAAGAATAGCAAAAAAAGACATCTTTTTAAAAGATAATGAGAACTAACATTAGAACAAATAGAAGTACAGACATATTTCTTTATCATCTAATTGGCAATCTCCTGTCTGTGTGTCTTCTATCAGTCTATCTGTCTTCAGTCTTTCTTCAGTAGATGATGGCCACTTTTTTTTTTTTCTTTTGGTAACATCAGCCCTTTCCTTCGGAAGGGCATTCATCTCCACTCTCTACCTTATATGGTTTTGTATGAAGCTGTCAATCACAGTAACCAAATTCCTTGGCCTAAAGATTGAGGTACAAAGTAGACTGGGCAAATCAGAGCAAACCACCCTCTTAAATGGTCTAGGATTAAGTGAAGGCAACTTAGAGAATTCACTGGAAATTTTTCAGAATGAAGCTAGAAATGTGACATCTTCTAGAAGCTGCTAGAGCCTTCTGGAATGCTGTAAGATCAAGCTTGCTCACAGATGGGTTCCAGGAGGCAATGAGGCCAAGCAAAAGTAGGCAAGTGTGAGAGTTGAAATGAGGGACACATCTCTGCAGATGCTGAATCCCAGATAGAATTTCCAAGACCTACAACCTTTCTGGTCCCTAGAAGTCTTCCCTCAATTCCATCTCTCCAATATATTTATAATCCAATGCAAATGAGACTATAGATATGCAAATAAATAAATAGAAATGTCTATGTCCCTTCTGCTCATCCTCTGCCACCCAAAGAAGGAAAGAAAGGCATGTCAACCCAATTTACTATTGGATGGTGTCACCTTTAGTTAACTTTCATGGTCATGGTGGTGACAGAAGTGCCAGTATTTGTAACAGTGTCATCAGCTGTTACTTTTGTATCTGGGTGTGTAAAAGGAAGTTTCTTTGGCTATTCACAGCTCTGAGGCTGAGGTTGAGCTCAGTAATTCAGAAAAGTAGGTGTTACAAGCTGTGCCTGCTCTATCATGAGGGGTTCTGAGAACACAAATGACATATTTTGTGCAAATTTTGAGGGTGTCTTACCCAGGGTAAAACACTTTGTACGTACTTTTTCCTTTACTAGACATACTGGGATCCTTTCTGATCTGGCTGAGTAGTTTTAACTGTGTATCTGTGGCACTTTCCTTAGGTGGCTCAAGAAACAGGACTTCCCAAATGAACCATGCTACAGAGACAGCTCACAAGTCCCATCCTTTTCTTTTCTTTTCTTTTCTTTTCTTTTCTTTTCTTTTCTCTTTTCTTTTTTTCTTTTCTTTTCTTTCCTTTTCTTTTCCTTCCTTCCTTCCTTTCTTCTTTCCTTCCTTCATTCCTTTCTTTCTTCCTTTCCTTTCCTTTTGTTTCCTTTTTTTTTTTTTTGAGACAGGATTTTTCCACACAGCCCTGGCTATCCTGGGACTCACTATCTAGATCTAGCTGGCCTTGAACTCACAGAGATCCACTTGCCTTTGCCTCCCAAGTTCTGAGATTAAAGACATGTGCTACCATGCCTGTTCCACCACCCTGGCATGCTTTTGAGACCTGGATACCAATACCTTTTCCTTCAAATCTTTAGGGACTCTTCCTTCTAAAGTGCATTCTCAAAGCCATTCATTTATTCATATCTATGTTTAATGAATGCCTATTACTGGCCCCATTCCCATTGTGCTCCCTGCCTCCTGCTTGTGGATCAAGATGTGAGCTCTCAGCTGTCACTCCAGCAACCTACCTCCATTCTCTCTCACTCTACCATCATAAACTCTAACCCTCTTGGAACCATAAGCCAAATTAAACTTTTTTTTAAAAAAGTTGCTTAGCTCTTGGTATTTTATCACAGCAATAGAAAAGTAACTAAGACAAATTATCCTTTTCTTTCTTATTTAAATTCTACTCCACACACATATGGTGGCTCACACCTGTAATTCTAGCTCTCAAAGGGCTGAGGCAGGAAGGTTGCCATGAGTTTGGCTCGCCTAGGCTATACAGTGAATTCCACGCCAGTCTGGGGTTTATAGAGAGACCCCATATCAAGCAAATAAGCAAACAAACAAATAATAAAAAAGTCCACTTTTCAGAACTCAACAGCATTTCTCTGTCATTTTGATGTTTAAGCATACACAAAATTTACCCCCTCCCACGTGGTCTTACAAGTAGCTTTCACCACCTAACATTCTGTGCCTGCCATGCAGCTCTTTCATAACCCAGATTTCCTATAATAAACTGTTTGCCTACTGACACACCATTACAGTGATTTTAGATTTTTACCGTGACAAGCTGCCATAATAAATAACTTTATAATATGAGCCTGTGTGAGAAATCTGTAGAGTAAATTTCTAGAAATGGAATTTCCAGGTCAAAGAATAGATGTGTTTGAAATTTAAAGAAACACCACAAAAATGTCATCCAAAAAGCTTATGTTGACTGGAATTTTTACCAGCAATATATGTCTTCGAGGGTCTGTTCTTAATCTTTGCCAATCTGTTAATAAGATATAGTATAGTATTGTTGATTTAATATACATTTCAGTATAATCCTGGTTGAGATCATTTATGTATAAACTGTTTATATTTCTTTTTCACCGAGCTATATTTCTTATAGCTGGATTTTTTTATATATTGCAATAACTTCCAAAGAATAATATATATGCTTTTGAATTTCATACAGACTTCATAAGTTTTTAAAGCATGCAATTGAATTTAGAATTAGATTGATAAGAAGGTCATATATAATGAATTTTTCATATGAGAAAATATACTCAGTTCACATTGGTCCCCAGGGAGTCTTCTCTTTCCCACAATGCAAAGCTGCAGTCTGCTTGCCTCTTCACTGTTGTTCTTAATATCCAGAAACTGCAGCCTCAGAGATTTACATTATTTTAAAATTCACTACCCCTCCAAAAATACTATATAACAATATTGTAGCCTTGAGGCTCAAAAATATGAGAATTACAGAGTGCCGGTTGCCTGACTATCAACAACACAGCAGCTTATGAGAGGTTACGTAAGAAAGAAGACACAAAATGATGCCACATGTGTCAAACTGAAAAGCTGGGATTGGTCCAGATCCTGAATGCAACTCTGAAAGAACCAAAGGCAGCTAAGAAAATAAATCACCAGTAGTGGGGAGAGCCTGAACACCGGAGTGCCACGTGAGGATTGAAAGAATGTCCTATTTAAGGTTTGTTAAACACTGTGAAGAATATATCTCCAACGGGGTGACGTTCCCGAGTATGACAAACCACTGGTTTCAGTTTGTGTGTGTGTTGGTGGTGACAGGTTTTATAGTGATTTTAGGAGCCTGACTCAAATTAGCTATAGCTAAAAAAAAAAAAAGATTCCTTGGATTATGTAAAAGGAAGTGAGGGGACTGACCACAGTCAAGCCTCAGTGACTAGAGCTGGCTCTTCAGAACTCTGGTGTCTTCTAGTTCTCCCTGACAGTGCTAAGGCTTTCCTGCAGAGCTGCAAACAGATGGTAGGTGACATGTAAAATGCTTTAAATGTGCAGTAAAAAAAAAAAGTCACCTGTATTCTTTCTTTTATTTAATAAAAAATTATTATTAAGTTTATTTCCAGAGAATTTGAACTCTATTACCTTTTCTTACATTAGGGTTTCTTTCACTTTTGCCATTTTTCATCCCTTTTTACACCAGGAAAATTTTAACATAACTCTGGATATATGGTAATATAAACTATGTACACAAATCAAACATCTGCTGATAATAAGTCATAAAAAACTTTATTTTTAAAAATTCTTTGCCAGTTGTGTGGCACACACCTTTAATCTCAGCACTCAGGCAGATGGATTTCTGGGAATTAGAGGCCAGCCTGTCCACAGAGTGAGTTCCAGGACAGCCAGAGCTACTATATGTGAGAAACTGACTCAAAAAAGAGAAAGCCAAGCAAAACAAAAACAAAAGCCCCATTCTTTGGTATGTATACAATGTACCATTTATTAAGGATGAAAGAAAAGTTTCCACCCTAGTGAGATGGAGGTGTCTAACAGAACACAATCCAAATACATAGTAACTAGACACGTGCTAGGGAAGGTGTAAGGAAATACCAAGTCTTTGCTTCCATAGTTAGACCATTACATATCTATAAGCATGGAACATTTTGCATGCAAGGCATCTGGTAACACAGTTGTCTTGAATCTGAGCTAGGCTGCCTAGGGAGGCACTCATCGACACTGCAGCTTGTATGTTGAGTTGTATCACTTGATTTTGCATTATCTTTGGTCATGTGTGTTCAGAAGTCTTTGACTCTTGGCAAATTATTAACAACCATCACATTCAGTTACATGATCCCATGTGGGGTTGAGACCCACAGCTCAAGAAACGTAAACTTAGATGACTTTCTTGATCTATTAGTCAGCCTCTTTCCAAACTCAAATACTGTAGTAAATTTTAGGATATGTAGAATTTTTAACATTAAACAAATAAACAAAAACCCCCACAAAAACTAGTGACTACCTGTGTCTATTAACTGAACCAGTATTCATGGTCAAAGCACAGTTTTCTGATGGGGGACGTTCTTTCTGTATGCTGTGAATATATGTTTCTCTTATTGGTTGATGAATAATGCTGTTTCAGCCAATGGACAGGCAGCATGTAGCCAGGCAGTAAGTATAGGTGGGGCTACCAGACAAGGAGAATTCTAGGAAGAGGAAGGCAGAGAGGATCCACCAGGGAGATGGCATGTAGCTACCAGGAAGATAGGACACCTGGCATTCTTCAGTAAGCCAAGACCACGTGGAAATACTTAGGTTAATAGAAATGGGTTAATAATTAAGAGAGAGCTAGCCAATAAGAAGCCCGAGACTAAACAGTGATGGGACCAAGTGGAACAGAAACTTCCATCTTCAGTTTTCTTTTGGAAAATACATGCCTTAGGGCAAAAGAACTCTTCTATGTAGAATATCCTGAATTATCAAAGGAAAAGAAAGTGCGGAGTCATCTAAAACTTGCCCTTGGTTTGTTTCAACTCCCCTCTCATCCCTTCTTAAATGTACATATACTGTCTTCTATATGACAGGAAGCATGATGATAAGATAGATCAATGCATACATACATACATAGATTCATATTTGTATACATATCTATGAATATCATGTTAATTTAAGTTATTAATTTAGACATAATTTCAGATTTTTGTCACAGTATCTATACAAAGAACTGTCAAATATCCTTCATATCCTCATAGCTTTTTTTTCTCAAATTCTAAAAGTTTATTGTCACTTTCTATCAGAGATGATGCTCCACTCTTTACATGCCATTGTGTATTTTCATAATAACAAGGACCTCTTTAAACTAACCACAATGGAAGAAACCAGGAAATAAACATCAATGCAAAAACTAACATTTAATCTACATGTCAGACTCAAACTTTGCCAAATGTCCCGATAATGTTTGTTTTAGCAAAACAAAATCCTGGCTCAGATATCATCTTTGATTTTTGTTTAGCTAATTTCTCAGACTTTGTCTTTTCTAACAGTCATGTTGGGAGTGTGTGTGTGTGTGGGGGGGGTGGAAACAGGGGTACAAGGTGTACATTTTGTAGACTGTCCCTTAATTTGTTTGTCAGACATTTCTTCTCGAGTAGATTTGGGATCTGGCTTTTGGCAGGAACACCACAGAAGCATTGTAATCTTCTCAGTGCTCATGATGCCAATCTATCCCATGTTCCCACTTTTAGCGTATGAGATGGGTGGCAGGCAGTGGATAAAAACCAGGATGTAGCCTGTGAATACAGTAAGGGAGATATGCATGCATCTCACTGCTTTGGTTTCTTCCTCATACTCCCTTGGTTCCCCTCTTGTGCTCTGACATCACTTTGCCTCAAGTAGATGGAGTACCTCTTGCATTTTACATGGAGTCTTCTTTGACAGAACTTGGAATGCCTGGCAATCAGACCCGATATTGAACACCATGGTAACAGAACTACAAAGGAATGGATAGCCCAGAGATGTCACCTATATCAAAGTCCTTGATGAACAAAGAATGGAATGCTGAAACCTGTCATGAAAGCATTTAGCCTATGAAGTTTCCACTCACACTTTCTTCTGTGTTCATTTGGCATGCACTGTTCCTTCTGCTTTGCCTAGAGTAGTGGTTCTCAGCCTTCCTAATATCTCATGTTGTGGTGACAACCCCAACCATAAATTTATTTTCATTGCTACTTCATAACTATAATTTTGTTACTGTTATAAATTGTAATATAAATACCTGATATGCAGATGGTCTTGGGGATCCCTGTAAAAGGGTCATTTGACCCCCAAAGGGGTCTCAACCCACAAGTTGAGAACTGCTGGTCTAGAGAGAGTAGCCTGTCCTTTCCTAGGGGCCCTGCACCTACCTCCAGTGAGGTAAAGAATAGTGTCAGTTGTTTGAACAGAGGACAAAAATATGGGGATAGATCTTGATAGTAATAAATCAAGGAGGGCAGGACATAAAAGTAGACAACATTATTATTGACAACATGGGTTTTGTGATGAGGGAAGGACACCTGAGTCCACTTTAGTAACAGTTGGGAAGGGTACCAGAAGCACAGATGGGATGAAGGGAACATGACAGTGCCTCCACTTAAGGAAACTGTCTAAAGGCTAAAAGAAATTAGAATTATGGAAAAAATAAAATATAAGGTCTAAGACCCACAGCCTAACTGTATTTCTCCTAAGAGCCCAGAGGACATATTAATCCCTTTGGGTACCATTGGCTTCTTTGGGATATTCAATGGTGGCTGTCTACTGCACTTGACAGTAAGAGGTGCTGCTGTGGAACTGGACTTCTTAATACAATGAATCAATAAGCATCCAAAATAGCAGAGGCCAGATGGCATCCCTTGACAGACAGAAAGTGGACATAATTACAATAATGAGCTGTAAGGCCAGAGTAACAACCAGAGTGCCTCGCCCACAGGCTTCTGAGATAATGATGAACAGACCAGTGTGCCTTGGGGAAAGCTAAATGAGCATCCATCCACTGGAGTGCTATCTGACCTACATGTGTAACTTAAAAGGCAGACAGCTGGTGGGCAGAAGGCCCAATGCTAGCTGTCTGCATTGCATCCCCTTACCCACTACACAGTTAAGCAAGCTCTAGCCCAGAACTCATGTGGTGGAGAAGCTGAGTACAGATCTCACAGTTCTAGCACAAACACATATCCTGTGTATTCTTCCAACAGTTCCCCAAAGGACATGTATCTATTTATAGAGGTAGCTCACTGAGAAAAGGGAAACACACAGATATTTCAAGGTTTGTTGGGTTCAGGGTCTGAGCTGACATCATACTGGGAAAATGGAAGCTGCCGTAATAGCCTCCAAGGAGAGAGGAAATTCATGGAGCCCAGGTGGCCCAGGTTCACTTCACAGTGGTCCAGGAGAGACAGAGATTCATCCTGAATTTATACTCCTAAATGCCAAGTTGAAATGTATATGTAGCAACTGGCAGAATTCTTTTATTGGTTTCTCTATTGTGTAGCAAAGGGGGGGGGGAACAAACAAAACAATGGAAAGTGCATAGCATTTCGGGGTAAAACAGCAAACCAGAATGACAACAGCCCAAGAGGAAACAGACATTTGTAGCTCTGTGAAAGACTTACAGCATGGAGATTTGTTGGTATCCATCACATTCTTGTTCCAGTCCCTATTTATCCTGTATGGCCACTGCAAAAAGCAAGCTCCATCAGAGAAAATCATGGTTGGCTACTGGAAAGGTAACCTAAGAGCACCTCTAATTCCTGCTGCTGTGCTGGGTGTGGTCCACTTTACAATAAAATAACAGTCTAGCCTTTGGTTGCCTGGCATGATGTTAATGCCCTAGGGAATAGGTTCTTCCCAGGCCTGCCAATAACAAGGGACAAGAGCTGCCTTTCATGTGGAAGGGAGAGCAGTAAGTATGCAGTCCATTGCCACAGAAGCAGGTTAATGTTCTCTGTCACAATTTAAATAGTGCATGGGACTTCAAGCAACTTGAAATTTTGTAGATTATCTTGTGACAATGCCATGATGCTAACTGAGATTCTCAGTGCAACCACTCTGAATGATAACTATAAATGGTTAGATGCAACAACCATTATTCAGTAAGGCGAATTGTTCCATACCCTTACACAAAGGGCTACCTAGTCAGGGAGTGGTAATGGGGGTTATAAAAACCAAGCCTTGAGTCAAAGCAGGACCAAAGGCTGTTCTCATACCTCTATTACTACTGGACTCATTGCTTTGCTGACTCTGTCACCCACCACCTTGAAGGCCCTACGGTAGACTAGTGAAGGCTACAATCAGATTGAATAATACATACTGTGGAACAAACCAGGCACTTCATATCATTTTGTATCCATAGTTACCAGTTGAGCCAAGATGACACATGCTCACTGCAGTAGGTATCTTTTGTTTCCTACCCTAAGGCTTCTTCTTTATGCAGACGTAAAAGTGTAAGAGCTTAGACAAAGAGTACAAAATTATCCCTTTCTCTTTGAGCAAATCCTTCTAAATTCTGGATCCTGTGAATTGATCCATTGCCTGGAACTGTGAATGTGTTCTATAATGCACTGCGCATTTATTTCATTTCCTTTTTACTGGTTTTTACTCGTTCTTCCATCCCCAATTCTTGTTCCCTGCAATCATGTCACAAAGCAAGGAAGCCCCTGTTTTTTCTTTCTAGGGAACCCTAGAAAAGGTAGCAAAGTCAGGTGGATGTTCTATATGGTTTTTCAAAGGCAACAACACTTGAGTTAGGCCTTAAAGTTTCAAGAAGTTGGCCAGGTAGGCAAGAGGGAAGTGTGTTCCGGGTAGAAGCAATAACATGAACAAAGGCTAGGAGAAGCCTTGGTGAGATCAGAGAATTGCAAACATTCCACAGTGGAAGGAGCATCATTAACCATGTGTTGAGATGTCAGGAGACACTAAAGGAAGTTAGCAGGATCAGATGCAGAGACTATGCATACGATGTCATTAGGGACTCTCTTGCACGTAACAATAATTATTTTTGTCATAGTCTACACTTTGTCCTGCGACTGAAGGGATGAGAACCAGCTCTCTTTCCAGCATGGAGACATTGTGAGGTGAATTTGATCTCTGCTGATTGAAAGTTCACACTGCTGACTTCTATCTGACCCATTTACTTTTCCTTTCCAGTCTTTCTGGGAAGAGCTCAGTTTTGTTTGTCCTTACTGACCACATGGCTTTGTGCAGGAACACTATGTGTCCCCCAGAGGATACCATGAGCTAGGGACAAGTAATCTTTTCCAGTCAGTATCCAGATTAGTAAATATTTTGGTTTTGTGAGCCCCATGGTTTCCCAGTGTTGCTATTAAACTCTGCTACTGCAGTGTGAAAGCATCCTTTAAGAACACCTATGCTTTGTCTATGGACACTGAACTCTGCATTTTTTTAATCACTTTCCTGTGTCACAGCACATTGCAGTGGTACCTCTAAGGTGCTTATGGATATAAAAATCTATGGAGGCTCAAGTAAAATGGCATAGTGTCTGCATGTAACCTATACACACCCTCCAATAAGCTTTGCCATCTCTAAATCGCTGGTAATGCCCAATACAATGTATATTCTGCATAAGTAGTTCTACATTGTTGCTTAAGAAATGGCAAGACAGGTGTGTACATGTTCAATACAGATGTAATTATTCCTTGTTAAATATTCTCAATCCTGGGTATGATGACTCCACAGATGTAGAACCCAAAGACATGGGCCAGTGTGGTGGTGCATGCCTTTAATCCCAGCATTCAGGAGGCAGAGGCAGAGGCAGGTGGATCTCTGTGGGTTTGAGGCCAGCCTGGTCTTCAGAGGGAGTTCCAGGATAGCCAGAACAACATAGAGAAACTGTCTCAACAAACAAAAACCCAAACTAAACAAAAGGTGTGAAGATTGACTATTTCCTGTTACGATAAATCTTTCCGCCAAAAGCTGCCGAGCCCCACTGCCACATGTGCGCTTTATGTCAGTGGTCCGCCAGAGTTAGGGCCCAAATGAATACACAGAAACTTGTATTAGGTACAAAGCTACTTGGCCAATGACTAGGATTTCTCATCTGTTAGCTCAGTCTTAATTATCATAAACATATATATTTTATAAGACTTATCTTATCGGACGCCTTATTGGCATCCCTCCTTGCCGGTGGATCACATTGTGCTGCTGGAGGAGCAGGGAGAAAAAAGGGACCCTTCCTGTTTCTCCTTTGCTTAAATATGAGTCTCCTTGCTATGTCACTTCCTGTCTGGATCACCACTTCTCTACTACATTTCCAATAATCCTCTTTGACTCCTAGTCCTGTCTAACTTGCTGTTTCATTGACCAAACAGAACTTTATTAAACAATCAATAAGATAAACATACACAGAAGTACTTCCCCCATCAATTTCCCATTCTCTCCCTCATTTAGAAATGCAATACCTCAGGCCGGAGAGATAATTCAGTAGTTGTGAGCACTGGCTGCTCTTCCAGAGCACCTGGTTTCAGTTCCCAGCTCCCACATACAACCATCCAAACCTCCAGTTGCAGGGAATTCTTCGGGCCTCTCAGGATCAGGTATGCATTCAGTGCACTTACATATATATGTGGGCAAAACACATAAAAAACAAAAATTAGGAAGTCTTTAAAAAATACAATAGCCATAGTTCATGGGCTGTGCAAAACCACCCAGCAGGACAGATGTAGCCCATAAACCCGCCTGCTAATCTCTTGTACATTCAATATGGCTTCATTTCTTTTGCCAGAGACTGGTTTAGCATATATACCTGTATTTAAATCTTTTGCAATGAGATTTGCAAGTGCTCCTTGGCTCAAAAGAGAGGCATATGAAGAGGAACAGTCTTTTTTATTGCCTATATATGCTGCTGTGTGATGAATAATACCTACAGCTGCTATGCTGAGGACATGAAATTTCTCACTTTTATCTGAGAATAGCAAAGCAGAGAAAGGGATGTGACAGACTCTTCATGACAGCACTGAGCTCTTGAACTAACCTGAAAATTACTTGGATCGTCAAATGTCATCAGATTGCTGAACTTCACTGACCCTAGATTTTTTGGACAATAAAGATTCTTACTATGTAAGCCATCTTAGGGGCTGGAGAGATGGCTCAGTGGTTAAAAGCACTGACTGCTCTTCCAGAGGACCTGGGTTCAATTCCCATCACCCATATGGCAGCTCACACTTGTCTGTAACTCAAACTCCAGTGGATTTCACACCTCACACAGATATATATGCAGGCAAAACACCTGTGCACATAAAATAAAGATAGATAAACCACCTTAATCAAGTTTTCTGTTGCTTAGAGCCAATACTTTTCTATTGATAAATTATGTAAAATGTCTGAAGCGATACTATATAAATCATTATAAACACCGACTTTGAAAAGCATCTTAGAATGAATAAAAGTGTGGCATATTTTACACAGTTAAAATATCATATTTTCAGGATACATATGCAGAAATATACATATATATACATATATATATGTATATATATATATGTATTTCTCAGTCTGAGAAAAGTGTGGAGCAATTTCATCATTGCGTTAACACCAAAGGGTAGTTACACAAACCTAGATGGTGCAGTTTTACACAAGAAGGCTTTGTGGTATAGCTTATTACACCTAGGATCACAATGAAGAAGATGTGAGATTACACTACTCAGACGGAATTCGGCAATCAAGCGCAGCATACGGGAGATGCATGAGACACTGATGGTGTCACTTGGCATGCTGTTTCACTATAATCCTGTTCCTTACAAGTGTTATGAGTATATTCTATGGAGTTGGAAAGATATCTCAATGGTTAAGAGCCCACACCACTCTTCCAGAAGACCCGAGTTGGGTTCTCAGCACCCATGTTGGGCAGCTCACAACCACCTGTAATTCCAGCTCTAGACCATCCACTGCCTGGTGCACACATGCACTTTTAAAAACAAAATGAGTCTGTTCTTTTTTTTAAGAGTACATTATAAAATAACAGTATGGTGTGATACAGTTACATGATAATCTCTTAGCACTGCTCAGTATTAAACACATAATCCATACCAGCATCATCACCCATGCTAGTTACACAGTGCATCACAACTACACAATGGCTACAATGCCACTCAACTACAGAAAATTTTTGGCTACCTTATGATCTAATGAAACCACTGTTATATGTATGGCTCCTCATTGACCAAAGCCTCTTTATGTGTTTAGAAAGACCATGATCAACTGTGATAAACTCTGGAAACTGTTGCTGGATAAGGAGGGAGGCAGAGAGACGTAAGCTTATTTGTTTTCTTATTAAAAAAGTTAAAGTATATGCAATCTTTCTAAACTTTAAAAATTGGCCAGTCTGGTCTACAAAGCAAGTTCCAGAGCAGCCAGATCTGTTACACAGAGAAACCCTGTCTCAAAAAAAACAAAAACCCAAAAACCAAACCAAAAGAAAAAAAATGGTTTACTGGAGCTGAGAGATGACTTATTGGTTAAGAGCACTTACTGCTCTTCCAGAGGACAGAGTTCAGTTCTCAGCACCCACCTTAGGTGGCTAACATCTGCCTGTCACTCTTTGTTCCCTCTTCTGGCCACTCTGGTTATCTGTACACACGTGGTATATACTCACTCAGACACATAAGAAAATAGAATATTTTAAGATGATTTATTAGAAAAAGAACAAGTTTACAAAAAAATAGCAGGAAGAATTGTTGACATGGATGGGTATTTTGAAGTGGATCCTGTGGGAATCTAGGGGTTAATTAACTTAGAGACATGATCTCATTATGTAGTTGATGCCAGCCTTGAACTCTTCCTCTTTCTGCCTCCTTTCCTGAGGGCTGGGATTACAGACATGTACCACCATGCCTGGTTTTATTTTATTCTCTTAATATGGTACCTTAGCCATTCTACTTGCTTTGTGAGTGTAGCTTGAGAGGATATAATCCAGCACAGGAAAGGGGATACTAGATGATACAGTCACAATACTTAAGCTTCTCCTACCTCCCTGGGAGGCAGAATATCTACTGTGATTTTTTTTTCTTTTTTTGTTTTTTTGAGACAGGGTTTCTCTGTGTAGCTTTGGAGCCTATCCTGGCACTAGCTCTGGAGATCAGGCTGGCTTCGAACTCACAGAGATATGCTGCCTCTGCCTCCCGAGTGCTGGGATTAAAGGCGTGTGTCACCAACGCCTGGCTTGTGAATATCTAATGGAAAGCCATTGGGCATTGTATTGGCACTTCTCATGTGAGTGAATATTTAGAAATGGGGTAAAAAGAGTTTTTACTGATAACAGCCTGGAAGTTTTTATTAAGGCTAAGCTTATTTTGGAATGAAGATAAAACTAGTCTTGGTGGTGATGGCCTATAATCTTGGACAACTGGCAGACTGAGGTCAGGGGATTGCAGGTTGCATATTCAAGGCTAGCCTGGGCTACAGAATGGGTTTGAGGCTAACCTGGGCAACTTAGTAAGATCTTGTCTCAAAAATGTTTTAAGAAATGAAAACTTTTAAGGAGAATATAAAGAGGGCAGAGGGAGACAAAAGACTCACAGAATGAGGAATTTAAGATAGAAAGAGGAGGACTGAAGAGATGGCTCAGCCGTGAAAAGCACTAGTTGTTCTTCTGAGGAACTTGGGTTCAATTCCCAGCACCCATGTGGCAGCTCACAACTGTCTGTAACTCCAGTTCCAGGGAATCTGATACCCTCACACAGACATACATGCAGGCAAAACACCAATGCAGATAAAATAAATAAATAAATAAATAAGTAAATCTTAAAAAAAAAAAAAAAAAGGAAAAAGGAAGAGAAAACTTTTCTGAGAGTAAAACTCACAGAAAACCAAAAGTTGATGGTTGGAACCTCTGACTTTTTAATATAGAAGATGACTTTAGATAATTCTTCTGATCATTAGATCCACAAGCATGAAAGAGCACTTCTCTCAAGCCTTGTAGGGGAAGCTGTAGCCACGCCTACTTAGGGGCTGGCTACAGGTTCCCCTACAAAGCCTCTTTATTTTGTCATATAGTTGACAAAACAAGGTGAGAATCAAGTGAATGATAGAAATTATACTGTTAATTAGCTGCCAACCAGAGCCAGTTTCTTGTAATAGTCTTTTTTTTTTTTTTTATCATAGTTGCTGAGGCTTATTTATCTGAAGACAACAGGATGGGTGACTTCCCAAAGTTCTTTCCAGGTTAAGTGCATTAGTCAAGAACTGATACTATAATAGATCATGGGGAAGGGTTAAAACGGCTCAGCAGATAAAGGGACCTGAGTTTGATCCCTGGAACCCACATGAATATCCTCAATTTTGGGGGGAAAAATCCAAAAATAATGTCTCTTTGTATTTTTCATTTTGGAGGGAAGGGGGTTGAGACAGAGTTTCTTTGTGTAGCCCTGGCTGTCCTGAAACTCACTCTGTAGACCAGGCTGCCTCAAACTCACAGAGATCCACCTGCCTCTGCCTCCCAGTGCTGAGATTAAAGGTGTGTGCCACCACTGCCTGGCCATTTTTCATTTTCTTATAATATTAGAAAAGATTGCAGGAAAGGCTTTGAGTTAGGGACACACACTACAGTGTTGACTCTGATGAAAGTAGAGGCTCGGGGTATACTCACTGAGATTGGGGAGAAAGTGGCTGTCTGGGGATATTTCTCTACGGAAAGGACATAAAAGTGTCACCTAGGTGGGGTGCATAATTCTCAGGACCCAGGCTTTCTAACCAGCCTGTAATTTGATTTCCTGACCGACTTTTCCTCTAGCCACATCATTTCCTTGATGTACAAAGAAGCAAACAGAAAATCAAATTCTTAATCTTCAAGCAGAAACTAAGAGTAGAAACCAAATTTGATACAGAGCAAAGAATGTTTTAAAAAATTGCCATATTATGTTGCAGAACAATACAAGCTATCTAAGCCCAAGTAATGTGCAAGGAGTTGGCATGGCAACTGCAAACACATCACAGCCAAAGAACTTAAGTATTGTCCTCAGGTCAGAGAATTTAAGATGTCAGAATTGGGTCTGAACCCAGGTAGTCTGGTTAGCCTGGAAAACCTGGATAGAAACATACTGATTTTTTGTTTGTTTGTTTGTTTTGTTTTTTTGAGACAGGGTTTCTCTGTGTAGCTTTGGAGCCTATCCTGGCACTCACTCTGGAGACCAGACTGGCCTCAAACTCACAGAGATCCGCCTGCCTCTGCCTCCAGAGTGCTGGGATTAAAGGCGTGTGCCACCAATGCCTGGCAGAAACATACTGATTTATTAAATTACCTCCTAGCTTCCACACGTCTTTGATCCCACCACTTAGGAGGCAGAGGCAGGCCAATCTCTGTGAGTCCAAGGACAGCCTGGTCTACAAAGCAAGTTCCAAACCAGTCAGGACTACACTGTGAGACCCTGCCTAAAATAAAAGATTCCTGCTTCCAAATTCCAGTTTACTGGAATTGTGTATTTATTTATTCAGTGTTGTTGAAGAGTGAAAGAATGCCGGGCGGTGGTGTCACACGCCTTTAATCCCAGCGCTTGGGAGGCAGAGGCAGGTGGATCTCTGTGAGTTCGAGACCAGTCTGGTCTACAAGAGCTAATTCCAGGACAGCCTCCAAAGCCACACAGAAATCCTGTTTTGAAAAGCAAAAACAAAACAAAATCTATTTAGCTAAGTAGTCAATCAATGAAGTGAAAACAACCTGCAGAATGGAAGAAAACATTTGCAACATACATATGGGGCCAATATCCAAAATAGGCACTGAATTCCTACAACTCAATGGAGAAACCCAGTAAAAATGGGCCAAGGATGAAGCATTCTTCTAAAGATGGGCAAATGGCCAATAGTTTTATGAAAGATGCCCCAAATTGCTAATTATTAGGGATTTTCAAATGAAAACTACAATGAGCCATTACACACTTGTTAGGATGAACATATCAAAAAAAAAAAAATCAAAAAGCAGCTGGGGATAGTAGCACTTGCCTGTAATCCCAGTCCTTGAGAGGTGGACAAAAGAAGATCATGGGTCTAAGGTGGTACTCAGTTAAATAGTGAATTTGAGGCCAACCTTGGCTACAAGGGACTCTCAAAAACAAAAACAAAAACCAACTAACCAACAACAACAAAACTCAACTGTAAGTGGGTAATGTAAGTAATCAGCATGGAAAGCTTCTCAAAAAACTAAAAATAAAACTACCCAATGACCCAGTTCTACCATCCTCAGCCTATACTCAACAGGCTGTGTATCATACCATAGCCATTTGCACATCCGTATTTATTGCTACTCAATTCGCAACAGCAGAGGGATGGAGACAGCTTAAATATACAAAACAGATGAGTGGATAATGGAAACATGGTATTTATACACAATGGAATTTGAATGTAGTCATTAAAAAATCAAAATTATGAAAATTGCAGGAAAATGGGTGGAACTGGAAAATATTTTAAAGGAAATCTAAGAGCAGAAAGACAGATAACGTATGCTTTCTCCCATATGTGGGTCCCACAACAGCTTCTCATTGTTAAATACGAATATGTAGGTGGGAGTAAGTGTGGGTAGATGACAGGAAACTAGAAGATGACTGAAGATGGAAAAAAGGAGGCTTTAAGAGAGGGCATAGAAGAAGCAATAGAACACATGGGATAAGAAAATGGAAGGAAGACTACAGGAGCTGAAGGGTACATCAGGGAAGCAGGAACAAGGAGACGGAAGAGGACGAGATGGGAGGGAAATTTAGTATGAAAATGCCAGGAGAAAACCTACCACTCTTAATATATACTTAATATATAAAGGAAACTCTAAAAACTAAAAACCAACCAACTTGCCAGATACAGAGACCTAAAAAAAAGTAACTGGTGTTTCCAAGGATGTGGAGAAATGGGAAGGAACCCTTGTGGTGATGGCTGTTCTTGGTTGTTGACTTGATTACACCTGGAACTAATGAAAATCCAAGTGGTTGGGCACACCTGTGAGAGATTTTTTTTTTTAAAATTACATCATTTGACATGAGAAGACCCACTTTTAATCTGGATCTTTTGAAGAGGGAAGCTCCACCTTTAATGTGGGCCACACCTTCTGCGGGTAGCCTAAATGGCATGGAAGAAGGAAGCTTGCTGTCTTTTGTTGCCTCCTTGCCCTCACTCTTGCTGGCAAGACCATTCCCTCACTGACATTACAACCTACTTCTTCGGAATTCGGGCAGGCACTGAAGATCAGTTGAGACATCCAGCCTCATAGGATGAACAACTACCGGATTCTTGGACCTTCCATTGGTAGACAGTCATTGTTGGACTATCCCAATTACAGCCTGTAAGCCATTTATAAATCCCATATTCTGTTTTCCATAGGGACTGC